TGTTTATCTCGAATTGGCCTTTTTAGTCATCAGCACGCTTGCAAAAAGTGTGGGATGAGGCCTTCCTGAATCTTCGGTTGCAAAGAAAAGCCAGAGAGATAGCTAAAACAGTCTGAAATAATTTTTAAAAGCTATTAAACATAACTGGTTACTCTCTAACTATACAGTAATAGCAACTCGGTACTTTTAAAAACCTATCTTTGCAAGCTCTGGTTTTGATTGTATACACAGTGGCAAATTGCCTGAGAAAACCCTGTGAAATTCATGGGGTCACCATCAGTCAACAGGCGACTTGAAGGTGCACACACACAAACACACACAGAGCGAGACACCTGCAGAGGACTTCATTACAAAGCAGTTCCTAATGTCATGTTCTTCCAGGTTGAAGTACAAAGTAGCTCATTAGCAACACTTAACACTTTTCTAAAGATGTATACCTGAGATGGGGATTTCCTTCTCCACTCAGCCATGAAACCCAATGGATGACCTTGGACAAGTCACAGTTTCTCAGCCTCAGGGGGAAGGCAGTGACAATTCACTCTGAACAAATCTTGCAAAAAACCCATGATGGGTTCTCGCCTTAGGGTCATCATACGTTGGAAATGACCTGAAGACACAACAACAACAATAACAACAACATACCTGACAGCAAAGATGGGTTCTCAGTGTTCTTTCAGAGTTGTTTGCCTGGACTCCTGAAAGCAATAATTATTTCCCAGGGTTATGCGATGCCCATTCTGTGGAATGATAGCAGGTTTAGCTCTATTTCTGCCCTGTGGTTGAATAAAACTAGTGGTTGTGGTTGTTGTTAGATGCCCTTGAGTCAACCTTGGCTCATGGCAACACTGTGTATGAGACATCTCCAGCCCTCACTATCCTTCACTGCTCTGCAGTGGTCTTCCTCTCTTTCTACTACCTTCTGTCTTTCCTAGCATTATTGTCTTTCCTAATGAACCATTCCTTCTCATGATGTGGCCAAAGTACAACAACCTCAATTTGATCATCTTGCCTTGCAGGGAGATTTCAGGCTTCATCTGTTCAAGGACCCATTTGTTTGTCTTTTTGGCCATCCACGGTATCCTCAACACTCTTCTGCTGCACTACAACTCAAATGAGTTGGTTTTCTTTTTATCCACTTTCTTCGCTGTCCAGCTCTTGCATCTTTACATGGTGATGGGAAATACAGTGGCTTGGACTATTCTCACCTTAGTGCTCAGTTGTATATCTTTACACTTTAGGATCTTGTCTAGATCTTTCGTGGCTGCCCTTCCCATTCCTAGTCTTCTTATTAATTGACTGCCGGCTCCTTTCCGATTAATGTTTGATCCAAGGTACAGAAAATCTTTTAACCATTTCGATGTCCTCATTGTCTAGGTTGAATTTATGTATATCCTCTGGGGTCATTCTCCCCCCCCCCCCTTTATGTTCAGTAACAAGCCTGCCTTTGCACTTTTCTTTCTTCAAAACCAACTTCCTTATAAAATTCAAGCCATCTGCCAGTTTTAACTCTGGGAAAGAAATTTAACAGGGCACTAGAGGGCACTGTCATGTTTTCAACCCACGGAGGCCCAGCCGTTGTTGGCATGGAGTCCCTTAGCTAAACAGAGCTCTATGGAGAGGAAACGGCTAGTGTCACTTTTTCCAAATAGTAAAATATAGTGTGTGTGAGTGGAGCAGCAGCATTTCTATACACATCCTGAACAAGGGTCAGGGCGCGCTCTTTTTCCCATTGAAGTCATCACGGCTGACCTCAGGCTACCTAGCAAAGATCTTTGCCTCCATGAAAGTAGCACCCCTCCACCACCCATCAGCCTTGCATAAGTGTCCTACAATTATGTTGTCTCTCTCGGAAAGGGAGTGGAAAAATTTGGAGCTGCAACGTAGGTAGGTGTGTGCTTGATTAGTCCTGGCATGGGGATTTTTCAGTGCCTTTCCTTAATTTCATTCCCTCCCATCAGTTGGCATGCCTCCTCTGGCCCTGGCGGTACATGCCTTAGCTACATCCTGTCTGGATTACTGTAATGCACTCTACATGGGGTTGCTTTTGAAGAGTGTTCAGAAATGCCAGCTGTACAAAGAGCTGCAGGCAGAGTATAGAACCAGTGTGGCATAATGGTTTGAGTGTTGGACTGCGACTCTGAAGACCAGGGTTCAATTCCCAGCTCAGCCATGACCTTGGGCAAGTCACATACTTTCATGCTTTCCTCCAGAGAATGCAATGATAAACCTCCTCTGAACAAATCGTGCCAAGAAAACCCCATAATAGGGTCGCCTTAGTGTTGCCATAAGTTGGAAACAACTTAAAGGCACACAGCAACAACAAATAGGGAGCATACAACTGCCTTGCTCCAACAGTTCTACTGGCTGATGGCACAATTCAGAGTGCTAGTTATGACCTGTAAAGATTACACCCCATTGTAGTTATGATCTCTATGACTTAGGCTGTGTGACAGATCGCATCTCCCTGAAATTCTCAGGAGAGGCCATCTTCACAGATACAAAGACACAAGTTAGGGCATTTTCAGTAGCTGCCCCAAGCTCTGGAACTCCCTTCCCTGGGGAAAGGTTAAATTGGTCTCCTCTTTCCATTGGCATGCAAAGGAAGGGTGTTAGAGAGTGCTTTATTATTTTTATTGAACTGTTTTGTTTTGTTTTAAACTGTGTTTTATCCTTTTGAAGTTTATGTTTTAAATTGTTTTAATGTTGTGCATAGTTTGATTCTGTTTTAATCTTGACTGTTGTATGTTTTTAGCAATATTGCGCTTGTTTTAAATTGTAAGCTGCCTTGAGTTGCAATCTTGGGGGAAAGAGAGGAGGTGAAGGAGGCCGCTGGTGCTGCTGCTGCTGCTGGTGCTGCTGCTAATAATAATAATAATAATAATAATAATAATAATAATAATGGGGGCTCATGGTGTGAGGCTTTTTAGAGAAGTGGCTTAGTGTGTGCTAACATTGTTCCTGGACTGAACCACTTTAGATTGTACATCAGTGAATTGCATGATACACAAATGACACAAAGCATCCAAGAGGAAGGATATAATCAAGGTTTTTCTGTGGTGTGATCAGTTTTTGTCTTTGTATCTGTGTGTGTGTGTGTGTGTGTGTAAGAGAGAGGAAAAAAAAGATTAATGGGGAGTAATCCATAGCACCAGCATGGGATAGTGGTTTGAGTGTTGGACTACAACTCTGGAGACTAGGGTTCGATTCCCAGCTTGGCCATGAAACCCACTGGGTGAGCTTAGGCAAGTCACATGCTCTCAGCCTCATGAGAAGGCAATGGCAACAAACCGTGTCTGGAAAACCCCATGGTAGGTTTGCCTTAGGGTCACCATAAGTCAGAAATGACGTGAAAGCAGACAGCACATACATACACATTCCATAATGCATCCCCTAGTATACATACATTTGCCTGTATATACACACACATTGGCAAGTGCACACACATCCTTTTGACCTGGAGTGGCTCAGTCCAGGACCTTTTTTTAACAATGTGATGATGTGTTGTATGTCTTAGTTTATTTCATACTCAATAAGGATACCTCTGTTTAATTATTAGAATTCAAAGATATAGCTGTGTTAGTCTGTAGAATCAATATGTAGAGAGATCTTGTAGCACTTTTGAGACTAACTGAAAGAAGGAAATTGGCAGCATGAGCTTTCGTAGATTAAAGTCTACTTCCTCAAATGCATCTGAGGAAATAGATTTTAGTCTAGGAAAGCTCATGCTGCCAACTTCTGTCTTTCTGTTAGGGGCTATACAGATGGTCCCTAAGGGGTGGCAGGACACCACCCCTTTCCTTGCTGAATTGGAACCGCAGCAACCACACGCTGCGGCCCCGATTTGGTGTTTCCATGGCGCAAAAAGAAGCCGCAGAAAGCGGTTCCTTTTTGCACTACAGAAAGGGTGGCTTACTTGCGGCGGCCACAGTTTTTTGCTGCTTCTTCAGCACAGCGCATGTAAACGCTGCACCGAAGACGAGCCTTTTTGCCGCCCGCTGTGTGGATGCTTCGGCAGTGTTACGGCGGCATCGGGATGGAGTTGGGGCAGCCGGCGTAAGGTCACTCCACCCTACTCCACCCTAAGGCTGGCCCTTTTGGTGAGTCTGTATAGGCCCTTAGTCTCAAAGGTGCTACAGGATCTCTCTACATACCTTTAATGATTAAGTAGATAAGTTTAATCGTAGTTCTAAAGAGATTTTCTTGGCAATATTTGTTCACAGGGAGTTTGCCCTTGGCCTCTTCAGAGGCTGAGACAGGGTGGCTTGGCCAAGATCATGCACTGAGCTCCCATGACTAAGTAGGGATTTGAACCCTTTTCTCCAGAGTCATAGTCCAGCACTCAAACCACTACACCACATTGTCTCTCCAGTAATTCTCTAGCAGAGCATATACTCTGCATGAATAATGCTTTGGATGAAATTCCTGATGTCTCCAGATAGCACTGCGAATCATTTGTGTCTTATACTCTGAGGAGTTGCTCCTGTTCGCTGTGGACAAAATTGAGCTAAATGGATGAAAACAGAGCAGTGTCAGTTCAAATTAGAGTAGTCCAATTGATTCATTGGATTTACTGTAATTGGAGCAATTAGATTGTGTTTAGACCTATGTTCCTAGAATTACAGTTGGCCCTCCATGTCCACGGATTCAAGCATTCATGGTTTGAAAATATTCAAAAAAAGATATAAATTCCAAAAAGCAAACAGTGAATTTGCTATTTTATATAATGAACAGAATTTCATTGTGCCATTGTATTTAATGGGACTTGAGTATCCATGGAATTTGGTATCCATGGGCATTCCTAGATCCAAACCCCAGTGGATACCAAAGGCCCACTGTATTTACAGTATATAATAAAATTATTATGTAAATATTAAAAAACCCCAACAACCCTCAGTTAAATCAAAGTTGTACACATTTTATTATTAAACATATCATCCACATCATAATTAATGATACTTCTATTCAATTAGTTTCCCATGTATTCCTACATAGTTCCTAGCTTATATAAGATTTGCTTTATTGATCCAGGATGAAATATTCTTATAAGTCTAATACATCTTTCTTTATATTCCAATAATTCTCCTTCTTCTGGCATTAAAACTAATTTGTTCTGTTTTCTAAAGCAAGATTGGAAAAGTGCAGGGTTCATGAAGCCCCAAATTATTTTGCTGCCCCCCAAATCTCCAGGAAACCCCAATGGGTAGACATCACCCTCAAATTTTTGAAGTTGCTATAAAAGCACACCAAAATGTGGCAGCTGGGCTTGTTCAGCAACCCTTCCATAACCAAACAGCTGAAAATAGATGGAGAAGACTAAAATAGAAGTGACTGCAAGTTTTTGTTTTACTTTTATTTTCTCCTTGTTGAGGCCACCCATCACCTGGCCTGCAGAAAAGAGCCTATGCTGTCCCTTTGAGGCTTTCTAGAGAAATGGCTGGATTGTGTATGGTAATGTTATGGAGGATGGATTTCAATTGAACGTTAGAAGGAACTCCTTGACGGTAAGAGTGGTTCAGCAATGGAATTCCTCTGTAGAGGTTTTCCCTTGTAGCAGTAAGACAATTTGGGTCCTTTCTACTTCTGTTCTTCCACTCCTTGTCAAATGTATTCATATTAAAACTTCTTAACTGCTGTCTTCTGAGGTTAAAATTTCAAGAGCTAATTATATAGTTCTTTGGCCAATCTCTCTTAGAAGTGCAATTATTTAAGAATTTTTCAAACTTAAATTTTACACAATATTTACACAAATATTACGCATATGTTACTTCTGGATATTTTGTTTGAACAAATGTTGATTCAAAGGAGCTCAAATACAGGTACTTTTAATGCCTTATTGTACAAAATTAGTAAATTAAACTATTTTTACCCCTCCTAGAATATTCCATTTTTTCGTATTCCTTTCTATTTCCCAAAGTTTCCCAATCACAGTATATTCTGGTCCCAATTAATGGAAGAATAATGGGGGGAGGAGCTAAATTGGCCTAAACCTACAAAAAATACTACATAAATGTAGTATTACCTCTTATATATCACTAAAACAGTATATTGGTCTTCTTTCTGATCTCCATATTCATTATTGTAGCAATATTTTAATTCCAGAGAGCCAGCTTGCTGTAGTGGTTTGAGCATTGGGCTACTGTTGTGGACACAAAGGTGTGAATCTGTGAATCCCTTCTCAGCCATGGAAACCCATTGAGTGACCTTGGACAAGTCACACTCTCTCAACCTTAGAGAAAGGAAACAAAATGTGCCAAGAAAATCTCATGACTTCAGGTCACCATAAGTCAGAAATAACTTGGAGGCAGATAACAACAACAACATTTGAACTCCAGATTGCTCTAGTGCTAATATCTGCTTATAATTTAGAGACATAGGGCTGATGCAGACCAGCAGTTTAGGCCAGCCTGGGGATGGAGTTGGGGCAAGGCAACTACATGCCAGCCACCCCAACTCTGCCCCGATGCTGCGTGCCCGTCTGCATGATGTGCAGCGTGAGGGTGTCCTCTTGGCACAGCATGTGCACACGCTGCACCAAAGGAGTGCAAAAGAGCCACATCGGCAGCTCTAAGGGCAGCTTTTTGCCGCCCCTAAAAGGAGCAGCATTTTGCCGCTCTTTTAGGGGCAGCAAAAAGGAGGATTGGGGCTGCAGCGTGTGGTTGCCACAGCTCCAATCCACTGCTCTCAGGGGAACCCAGAGCTGCCCCTTCTTGGCTGTCTTCATCAGCCCATAGTCATGTTAGTTTGGAATACCAGCATGCAAGGGGATCTAACTGACTGAGCAAAAGAAGTTATAGCATAAACTTTCTTAGCCTTGGTCTATTTCTGATAGGAGGTAGACCAATTCTACGAAAGCATATGCTACAACTTCTTTCACTCAGTTAATTTCAAAAGTGCAAGATCCCTTACATACTGATATTCCAGATTAGCATGGCTATGTCTCTAAATTCTACCCTTTTTATGGGTTAATTTATGTTACCTTCATATTGCAGCTATTTTTCCAAGTCGGATTTGATACTGTTAATCAATAACAATTGACAGTCTTCAGAATTTGCAAGTTGCTTCAAATCTGACTTTATTATTTTAAATCAGTAAAGGCTCTCATTTGTATTTTTTTTTCAGCTATGATCAAAGCTGTCCTCCTGCTGTTGCAGTCGGCAGTCTTACAGCTACAACCTCCAGAGTATTAAAATTTAGACTCCTTGCTAAATCAGTGCTAATGTGACATCCTCTTTCTGGTAGTTTAATGGGTTAATGTTTCCTGCCGAGACTGAAATGGGTTCTTAACTCACTGAGTCATCCCCTGTGGTCTTTCTCTCCCCCCCCCCCGGCTCCCTTCCCTTCCACCCCCACCCCCCCTTTTTAAGCGTTTCCTCTGATGCTATGAAAATAGCAACCAATACAATATACGAGACCAGAAGTTCTTAAAATGCTAGTTTCCTGTCTGCACTAGGCAGGTAAGCGCTTGAGAGCTATTGTAGAATGTGGTCAAAAAGTCTGGGACTTTTCTCTCGAGTGTGAAACTAAGGTCCCAGCTTCAATAAATAGGCCATCCAGGCATGTAAGAAAAATTTAGCGTGTGACATTTTGCACGTCAGGTTTTAGCAGAACAAAGCTTGGAAAAGTTTCTTTTTGGGATTGTAATCCCCAGAATATTTCATCCAACATGGATACTGCCCATGCTGACTGGACGACTCTTGGGACTACAACCCAAAATGTAACATTCCAGCTCTGTTTTTTTGTAAGATATTCAATGTTAGCACACTAGACACATGAAACAAGGCTCCAGTCTAACTCTCTAAAGCTGTTTATGTAATGACTGTCGGTCTATCTTAAGTAAGTTGCCAGCCACACAAAATGATACACCGGTATGTTTTTCTTACACAACTGGTGTCATATTTAATTTGAGCCTGATTCATAGTAAAGGGAGGTGATTAACTTTTTGCTATTTGCAATATAATAAGACTTTGCTTTGGGAATTTATTTGGATGCTAACCTGGGTCAGTTAAATCCCATCTAATTGCCTTTTGTACCCTGGCTTATTATTGAGCTATGACAGAAAATGTTTGTTGAGTTCCACTGCTGAAGGATACTATGAAGGATTTATTGTTCACTGGTTCAACTATTCTCTGCCATTTTGTACCCAAGGTGATAATAAAGTGTGGCCTATATCTAATGGCCAGTCTCAATTAGAGTAGACTCATAGAGTTGGAAGAGATCCCAAGGGCTATCCAGTCAACCCTCTAGAACAGGGGTAGGCAACCTTTCCCCTTTAAGGGCCGAGG